AATGCGGACTGGCAAACCTCTGAGTCTGAGGGAGAAAGCCAGTCAGGTTAAAGCAGAAACAAATCAAATAATAAAGGTTATGAATACTTATAAGAATCTGAATCAAAAATTTACCGGTTACTTTACTTTAGGGATCGCAATTCTCACACGTGCTTTCACGACGAACGCAACTGACTTTCTCCTTCCTCTTCAAAGTGTCTCCAAACGTCCAGTACTTGCGAGGAACGCAGCAACTTCGTGCTCGGAATCCGTATCACGGTTTATCTTGCTTTTTACAGTGCCATTCTGTTTCTGTGTGAGATTTATAGAGATTAGGCAACTTTAGATTAGGCAATTATCTATCATATTTTTCACAAGTTTATGATCTGGCTGATATTTTAAAGAGCTTTTTTTAAAAAAAACTAATTTTTTTAAGCGTGCGCCATATATGGCGCACCGTGCACGTCGCAGTTTGGGACATGCATGCGTGTACCATATATGGCGCACGTCGCAGTCAAAGTGTTAAAGTTTATAGTGACGAGCGGCAAGGAGGGCAAAGTGTTTGCAACACCACCGGTAACTTCTATGTTGACTGGTGACAGGCGAGTGGCGACCACGACTCCACGACCAAACCAATATCTTATGAGTTATGACAATAAATAATAAGACTAGACAATGGGGACAAAATAAAAGTTTTTGCTTCACGCTTTTTTCCGCAATTCATGACCAATAATTAGAAAATTTAATACACATCTTTTAATGACCATTGGGCTGTGTTAAGGATATATTTAATATATTTACGTACTCCTGTTTCAATTTGTTAGGTTAAATTAGGCTGGGTTGGGTTAGGTTTCACCCGTTATACCATTTTAATTTGAAACGATTTTAATGCTATTCTCTAATTGAGGAAAAAACGTTCAGAAGCGGCCACCTATTCAACCGTTTTAATTTGAATCGGGAGGAGGCAGAAAAAAAATCCTCGCCGCAGCACAATGAGCATAAAAAGCTGTGTTTTTAATTTATAGTTATTGGTTGCGAATAAAGGGGAAAACGTGCCGAGGCGGCGCTGGGATGGCCCACGTTGTAGCCGTAGCCCACAATAACGCAAAGGCACGTTTGTCCGACCGGTGCGCCGAGCGCAGAAAACTGGCTACATAGATCAGCCCTATTAACTACATGGAAGCGTGTTTATCATTTGTTGGTAACTATTAAGTAGTATTATTGATATGAGTGACGTTGAAGATGGGTAATAAAAGCATAACCGTAGACAAAGGATTAAATTTGAGGTGATAGCTGACCGCTAAGACGCGTCGGGACGAATTTCGTAACGTTCACGCCAATCGTTACCAAACTTGACCTCTTAAATAACAAAATCATTTTTATTGCTCGCTTCGGTTCTACAAAATTCCAAATTTTAGCACCGAATCAATAGTTTCACTTATGAACTGATCTGCTTGATATTCAAAATAAAACTACCGGTAGTTATTAAAAATATGGCGAGGGAGGAATTAATACGGTTAATCAACGTGTCAGTTTACTCCAAACGACTTTACACGAGCTAAAGCTGTTCAAGGTACCATGTGACTTAATTCGCGTCATCAGTCCCAGAAATAAATAATTCTTTATGATGAACTATAAAATGTTTGCGATTGAGAAGAACTGAGACGGAATTATAAAATGTTTACGATTGAGTAGATGAGAGTCGAAAATATACATCCAATTTGTGATGCTAAAATTTTTGGAATGGCTTTCATATGTTAAAAAATATATGTCGTATTATCATAAAGTCATCTACATAATCCATAGTCTGGAAGCTGATTTTCAAATGACGCGCCACGATGGTTCTCTCTAGTGCATTGCATAAGGAAACGTTTAAATAAACTTTTTCCATTCGTTAATTAACGATGAACGGCGAAATCATTCTAATATGCGCCAGCGAATTCAAGATTAGAATCAAGTTTTACGTAACACTTTCTTGAATTTATTTTCGATTGACTTAGCGATATTTGTAATTGCAGACATAGCTCGTAAAAACAAGAGTTATGCCGTCTGCCAAATGTTTGTGCATTTGGCTATGTAGGGGTCTATACTGCGTCCCTAAATATTGCGGTGAACACTTGCGACATAATTCTTGTTGCTGCAGGGCGCTTTTGCCGCCAGTTCGAGTGCAACCCTCGCCTGAGCAACAACAACTGATGGACGCGCCTGCCTTACTTCTCGCCCTGCTGGTGGCAGCAGCCTCGCCTGCCTCAGCAACGGTGGGGAACACATACTGTTATATATTAATGATCTTGAAATGCTGTTGTTTAATTTTGCTTTATATGTTAACTGATATTTTCTGCTGGTGGCGGCAGCCTCGCATGCCTCAGTATTTAGTCAGCAACGGTGGGCAATGCATACTTTTACATATTAACCTACCAAACATCTGATGTTAAAATAACATTGAATAAAATTCCTGCCAAAGGAGTAAATTCTAAATCAACGTTGTTTGCCTGGAGGATCATGCATGATCTTCGAATGCTGTGACGTCGTTCGTCACTCGTCAGATTCAACGCACTAAGTTTTCCTATCCTCATCTATTCTTTCTTAAAATCTTCACTCATCCCGGCGTTCAATCCACAAGTGCGTGGAAAATATCGCAAAGATCAACGAAATAACCACCCCGTGAACGCAGCGAGCCCTCAAGAGTCAAGCGGTTCCCGCGTTACAAGCAGGGCTCCCAGCGCTGGGTTTTTCCACCCAGATCTGGGTTTTTTGGCCGTCACCTGGGTGTCTGGGTGTATTTTTCTTTTAAATGGCAAAATCTGGGTTTTTTTCGTTAAGTTAGTTGATTTTAGCCAATAATACAATTGAAATATTCTCAATGCCTTAAATTTGATTATGCAGTCAATACACAATGAATGGAGCAACGCATTAAGCGTCAGACTGTATATTTTCCCCAGCTGACAGACGGTACTGGTATTGTACGCGTTCATTACCGGTATTGAACGCGTTCATTACCAGTCGAAGCAACGGTTCCCAACTTCTCGTCGCGCACTGCACAGTACCGCGCTCGCTATTGACAAGTGACAAGTTATAGTTGTGTCGTGCGTTAAGTTTTACTGTTGCTCATGTACCTATCGGTGCTGTTAAATTAACATACCTATAGTGAACAGTGAAGGCCCCGAAAATGGCAAGTCCCCCTAGAAAAGTAGCTAAAAAATGGTACAAACAGTCTTTTAAAGAAGAGTGGTTACATGAAAAAGACTTTAAGGAGTGGCTGCAAGAAGATTCGAAAGAAAAAGGTGTTTCCTATTGCGCATGTTGTAAAACTCAAATAAAAAATGCTAATAGATCCATGTTGATGGCACATTGTAAGACTGCGAAGCATCTCAACAACATGAAAGAAGCTAAAGCAGCTACTAAAATTGATTCATTTATTAAGAAACAGATTCCCAGGGAGAGTGATGAAGTTGCAAAGGCAGAATTACTTATATCTGCTTATATTGCTGAACACAATGTGCCATTCGCGCATGCAGATCATTTAGTGGAAGTGTGCAAGAGAGCATTTCATGATAGCAGCATTGCTAAAAATGTAAAACTTCATGCGACAAAAGCTTCATATCTTATTCAGGAAGGAATTGCTTATCATGAAAAATGGGAAATTGTTGATCAGTGTAGAAATGAAAAGTTCAGTCTGATAATCGATGAGAGCACTGATATATCCGTTTCACAGGTATTAGCTGTTGTCGTTAGATATTTTGATGTTGAAAAAAATGATGTATGTGATAGTTTGCTTGACTCGATTGTTATTGAAGATGGAAGTGCCAGTGGTTTATGCAAAGCTGTTAAAACGACTCTGAATGATAAAAAAATTCCTATTTCAAACATCATTGGATTTGGAAGCGATAATTGTTCTACTATGATGGGCAACAAGAGCGGCTTTCAAACCCTATTGAAGGAAGACATTCCATCAGTTTTTGTTATGGGTTGCGTATGCCATTCTTTTGCTCTTTGCGCAAGTCACGCTGTGAAAATGTTGCCATCCTATCTCGAATCATTTTTAAAGAATATCACCTTCTATTTTTCCCGGAGTAGTAAGAGAAATAGGGATTTTACGCTTATCCAAGAGGTAACCAAGACAGAGACTCACAAAATACCAAAGCTAGCTCAAACTCGTTGGTTATCTCGTGGAAATGTCATCAAAATTATTCTAGAGCAATGGGATGCACTATTGTTGTATTTCCAGTCTGAATCAAAAGAAGATATACTTGATGGTGCAAATAATATCTACCAAACGTTCAAGAACAGAGGCACGAAACACATGCTACTATTTCTGAACTATGTGTTAGAGAAAGTTGATCGTTTGAACATCGAGTTTCAATCAGAAAACTTCAGACTTCATGTGTTGCATTCTATGGTGTATTATGAATACAAGAACATTTTGAGTTGTTTCATCAGAGAAGAGGCAATTAAATCCACAAGAGCTTCAGCTATTGATCCAAGTAACAAATCATTACATAAGCATGTTAACGATTTGTATTTGGGTGGACGTTGCATGAGAGAGTTATCCTTGTTTCCAATCGGGGAAAATGATGTTAGATTTAAAAGGGATTGTTTGAACTTCTTAGTTGAGTTGTGCTTACAAATCAAAAAAAGATTCCCATTAGAAGAAGATGGCATTATCGCAAATTTACATATATTAGATCCCGCTGCCTCAAGAGATATCACTAAATCTCCCAGTTCCATAGTGAACGTAGCACAGAATTTTCCCCATATTGTTCCTGAGGATGTTCTTGACAAACTCGACGATGAATGGAGGCTCTTTTGGCAGTTTAGCGATGTATCTTTAAACTACACTTCAGTCCCTGGCTTCTGGCATTCACTGCGTAACATTAAAGACGGGATGAATCGACCAAAGTTTGGAACTCTGTCTAGTTTTATGACAAATCTAACTATATTGCCTCACTCATCCGCTTGTGTCGAAAGGATTTTTTCGCTCGTTAACCACGTTAAAACGAAGCAAACAAACTCGCTTAAAACTGAGACAGTGACAGACAGATTACTTGCACGGCAGTTTCTTGCGAGGAAGCAACAGAATTGCTACACATGGAAGCCGAAACAAGAGTTGGTGAAAGACGTTGTAGATGGAACCTGCTATGCACGATATGAACAGCGTCTCAAACAAAATAACAGAGAGAACATCAATATAGCAGCAGCCGAAGATATATAATTCCATCAGAAGTAAGTAAAATTACAATGTTTTTGATGAAATTTGTTGTCTGGGTTTTTTTTTAAGTTTCATGTATGTCTATCTCGACCTATTAACTAATATTAGATCTTATTTTCAGCTTACGTCACTCAGCTTACGTCACTCAAGTATATGAAATAGACGGGAGAAAAAGCAAGTCAACTTTTCCCTACCCCGTTGAGCCCGCACACGTTTGTGTCAAATGCTAGTGCTGTTGTTTCATCGTGCTATTTCTTTTTAGATATTTTCGTGCACTAATTATTGTTTTCGTTTGAACATTGTAATATATAATAAAATATAAAGATATAACTCTTCAGCAGACGACGTATAGTAAAGCAGAAAGTTTAATTGAAAAGTAGTGAATGCTTTTTCTGAAAACAATCACTGAGATCATCGTTAGAAAATTCTTTCGCTCATCGAACTGACAGTGTACTTAATATTTTTAGGAGTGCTGTAATCTTGATAATTTACCCCTCAATTCTATCGATGCAGATCACTTTAAAAAACATCGCAAAATGTGATGTTGATGGCGGTTTGTTATTAACACGTTTTTATTTTATTATTAACACGTTTTTTTCTTAACTCAGCTTCGCGTTTGTTTGTTTGTTTGTTTGTTTGTTTGTTGTTAACATTGACAACGAAAATTAGCCCACTTCTGATTGCTCTAGAGATCTGAAATTCGGCATGCAGACTATTTTTGCCGTCTCTTATACACATCTAGATGTGTATAAGAGACAGCGCTTGGCTCTATTGCTAGAGATACTCTCACTTGACCCATCAGTTTCACGGTCCCTGCGCTTGCGTCTACCCGCAACAGCAACAGCAACAGGAGTGGCCTCAATGATGCTATCTGGATCAGAGTCCTCAATAACAAAACCACCATCAATAGCACAATCCTCCTCCATCATTGCAGCACACTCGGCTAAGTGAGCTAACTCACTCACCTCCACAGTAGCAGTACTAGAGGCTGCTGGGCCAGAGCCTGCTGCTGGTGCTGGGGGACCAAACCCAGACCCAGCAAGACAGCCTGTATCTCCCATGCAAGACCAGGATCAAGACGGAGGACGATTTCTTGTGATGACAGATGANCTATAGGTGCTTATACACGTGGCTATTAGTTGCGTATATTGGTTACGTCTACCAGGCCAGGCTACAAAAATTTGTGATGCTTGACGTGTTCAGAGGCAGCTAGCTGGTTCATTGCAGGCAAGGCAACTAGAGTTGTTTTGAAGCAGTCTAAAGGTGCTTATACACAGGGCTATTAGCTGTGTATATTGGTTGCGTATACTACAGTTTTGCAGGTTGAGTGCCTGTACACGAGTATAGCGTTTTCGGTACACTGCGCCCGCATCAGTGCGACGTTGGGAGTTGTCGAGTAAGGGTGTGCACGGTGGAGGCATGCGAGAGCAAGACCGCAGTGCGCGCTATAGTGGGCGAGAGAGAGAGCGACGCACCTGTACTCTGTATGACGGCCGGACGGCTACTGAGCGCAATAGACTGCTTCAAAACAACTCGAGGTGCTCGGCCTGCAATGAACCAGCTAGTATGCCTCTGAACACGTCAAGCATCACAAATTTTTGTAGCCTGGCCTGGTAGACGTAACCGATATACGCAACTAATAGCCACGTGTATAAGCACCTTATACTCTATTGCGCTCAGTAGCCGCCCGGCCGTCATACAGAGCATAGGTGTGTCGCTCTCTCTCTCGCCCACTATAGCGCGCACTGCTGTCTTGCTCTCGCATGCCTCCACCGTGCACACCCTTAGGTCAAGAAGTTTGGTGTCCTGCCTAGTCAGTTGCCACAATGCATTGGACCAGTGAGCAGCGTGCATTTGCTTTCGAGGCGTACTCTCGTAATTGTGAAAGCTTGGCTGTGCGCTGTACAGGGTCATAAGTCGAATTAATTGGCCCTTATTCCTTTGAGAAAAACGAACGCACTGTAAATGTGACTGCAGCTCGGTACACGCAAATGATTGACGCCTTTCTTTTGGCAGAACTGGCCTGAAATGAATGTCATGGATGTCTGGTTCATACAAGATGGAGCCACGGCCCACACAGCGCGATGTCCATTGGATCTTGCGAGACAACATTTTGCAGAGCGCCTCTTCTCCTTGAGTGGTGACCTTCCTTGGCCGGCTTGATCCCCCGATTTGGCTCCGTGTGATTTTGCATGGGGTTATCTTAAATCAGTTGTTTACAATGACTGTCCAAGGACCACCTCAATCAAAAAACAAGATATGCCAAGCCAATGACAAGATACCCGTTGATATGCTTCAGCAAGTTCAACGGATCTTCAGAAATCGACTAACTGAATGCATTGACAATGAGGGCTGTCATTTGGTCTTTTTCAAGAAAATTTATATTGTAATTATATCTTTAAAAGTTCTTTTCATTTATGGGCAGGGTGGCCTTGTGGTTAGAGTTAAGAGTTCCAAGATTGGAGCAGAGAGGTGCGGATTCGATCCCAGCTCTGCGCGCCAGTTTATGGTCAGAATCGGCGAGGAGGCCGGGCAATTGAGCAAAGAAAATTTGAAGCAGTGAGTTGCGAGTTCAAGCCCGCAACAAGCTGTGAATGTTCTGCTATGCGTAGAATCGGCGACAGGCCTACAGCCTAATAAATGCTGAACCGCTATATTATTATATGACATTATTATTATAATTTGAGGAAGTATACGCGCATTACCCTGCATCTCATCATATCTCAGTGGCAGTACATCATACAGGAGGCAAGCTAGTATTTTTCCCTGAAAATACGCAGACATCAATTGATTTCATAACCCAATTCATATGACTGAGCAAAAAAAGTCTTGTAGTACGAACTGTGCATACACTGAGCAGTACATGTCAAAAGGTATATCATATGTGTTCATATAGACGGACAGTCCTTATTTATTTTGGGCCGGCGCAGCACTCGGTTCAAACACTAGCAAACCACCGGACAAATTGACAATGCAATCCATGAGTTTTTTGCAGTTGCACAAAATAACTGTTTTCAACAGAATAACAAAAAGCGTTGGATACTCAATTCAACTTTTAGGGCTCGGGATATCATCGCAAATCGGTTGAATATCGCCTATCGCTTCAATTTCGAACTTGCTATTACATCTGAATTACATAACCTATTTAAACGTTCAAACGAATTTTAATATTTCTTCTTGGTACGTCATATCAGTCTTCATTATAATTATAATTATGTAATAGGACAAGATAATCTTATGAAAATTTGAGCAATATTCAATACAATTGCCATTTTCTAAGTTCGCATTTATGTCATGATGCCGCAACTCGAAAGTTGCAAAGAACTGGTCAATGGACAGCCGTGCTTTACCGGACTGCATGATATCGAAAAGTAATAGAAGTGAAGATTGCGAACTCAAGCAGCTTCAGCGTTTCTCTGTCTAATATTCTAAAGTTTAACAACATAGTTTAAATAAACTTTCGAATCTAAATAATCAATAGAACAAATAAAATTACAACTTACATTGGAACATTTGAATTATGTTTATTTGATGCAGAACTTAATATGACTTTGCTGGCTCAGAGCGTTGTAAGTGTAAGCCAATTTTGGTGTATCTTATCCAATCATGAAATAATTTTCGATTTCATTTCGACATTTTAAGACTTGAAATTAATAATGTTCAATGTGTGTTCAATGTGTGTATGTATTCAAATTTTAATATTCTGCCAGTTACAACTTACATAAGTTTTAATATTGCTTTTATGGGGGAAATGCTCGACTTCGGGAAATTCTTCTCATAAATCCCGGATGAAATGTTCCTGCAAAATTGATTGAAATATATTATCACGGTGTCTAAAAGGAACACGTTCATTACTTCATTTATTTTCTCAAAAAAATATTTCCAATAAAATAATCTAGAAATTTTAAGTCCAATGGGCCTAGTTAAAGTATAATTATTTAATGGCGTAGTAGCGCGTCTTGAATTTCCGTGCAGATCAAATCGTTCGCTGGGCCGTCAGGTGAGTGATGTTAACGGGGGCGAAGCCGTAGGCAACAAATTTTACCCTTTAAAGGGAAGCATGTAAAGCCATATAAAAACTTTTATTTGCGGACGGATCATTCTGAAACTTGGTGCACATATGTAAATTAGAAATCTAAAACCTTTTTGTTCGTGTGAATTTATCGGAAAGAATGAAGGAAAACGTGAAATACTTAGAAAACGGAAAAATTAGGGGGTACTGTGAAGGAGGAGGTACTATCATGCGATTCGTAAAGACCATATCTAGCGATCATCTTTTATATCTATCATATCTAGCGATCATATCATATATCATATATATATGATCGCTAGATATCATATCTAGCGATCATCAATTTCTTTCATTTTTTTGTGATTTTTCTGATATTTTAAATTTTTCCCCTACCCCCATTAATTTTAATATATAATTCAAACAAAAAAGAAATCAGAAAATACTTAAAAAAACTTTTTAAAAAACCACGTTTTTCTTTTGGACTAAAAAGTAGAAAATAAATTATGGCTCGCCCCAAAAAACGTGTGTCGGGCAGATTTATGATTAAAGCGAAAAGCACATTACACACGCATTTTGGAAATTTGATGGTGCAATCCTGCCCTCCGCTGGAATTCCACGCGCTAGCGAATCCCTGGAAACGGTGAGAAATTAAATTGTTCTTTTGTAACAACTCCGGTCAGTAATAATGAGTTAACTAATTAACAACATAGTTAATGAATTAAGTTTATTTATTATGCAGTAGTCTGTATTTTTATTTGTTTCGCATCTTATTACGTTAAAAAATCTTGCACGTGTAAACAATATATTAAAATATATCATTCATCATTTACTTGTTTAAATTTATAGTATTCGATGCTTTAATCGCATTTAACTTATTTTACTTTTACCTCCAAGTAATCGTAGGTTTTATCACTTGCAGTTTGTCCCATAAACGAACCTAAAAACTAGCTTGTTCTCTTTCTTATTTATTCTTATAGGAGCACTGGAAACTAGTCCATAACTTGTTCTCAACCTGCGCTGCGGCGGCCAACTCGGTGTCAGGAAGCCTCTACGCCATCGAGCTGGGCACCTCAGAGTTCGTACAGCTGACAAGCTCGAGCACTCAAATCATCACGTGGGTTGTCAAGAGCGGCGTCAAATCTACCATCGATTGCGCCCAGGCTACTTTGGATGCAGGTGATCATACACAATCAGCATTACATCGAAGTTTGTTTTTACAAACTTAATCGAATAAATTTAAAATTGCTTATACCATTTTACTTTTGCAGTTTAGAGGAGCTTTTTTTACTTCCCAGTATTTATACTATGAAGTACGCAATTTTGGCATAAAGAATCCTTTTTAGTTCACTGAAACTATGCGACAATCCTAATGTCAGTGAGAAGTAACTTTTTGATTGCTGAGAAAATCGTGCAATCTTTTAATCACTTTTTCGTTCGTGAGACTAAAACGCCTTATGAAATAAGCGTGTGCCTACTCTTCTCTATGATGCAACACTGACGCTAATTTCTCTCTTCATTTACAGGCAAAGCCATGTTCAAATACAGCGGCGGCACCTGCAGGATAGCCGCTGATGGAGTCTACGACCCAAGCAAGCCCTCGTGTACTGGAGAGACGGTCCTACGTTCTAAGCTCTGGTGGTGAGTAACAGGGCTGGCGACAGGCCGTACTATCAGAACTCGCTTAAGTACACGTAGCGATTCAGTGCACGAAGCGGCATAAGTACACGTAGAAACTAAGTGCACGTAGCAACCTAAGTGCACGTAGCAACCTAAGCGCAAGTAGCGACATATAAGGTACACGTTGGGACCGATTTCTCCCCTGTAATTAGCAGGTCGAGCTTGGAAAGCCGTCAGTGATTGACTGACGGAGTTACGAAATTTCAACTTTTTTGATTGTACGGCCCCATGCAGTTACTCTGATTAAATTGTCCCTCGAATCTATGGCATTTGTGTGGCAGTGCAGTGCTCCTCAATACTAGACTTGACATAAGTAAATATTGTACACTATAGGCTCATCGTGATTAAGCCATCTCTACTTTATTAGCGAATTGATGAACCATTTTCACATAAAACTATTTAATGCATATTCACTACACAACTCGCATAGAATATTTTGTATAGGAATGCAACCTCAAATTAGTGTGGCTGCGTCCCTAATATTCTCGCATTTTCTCGTATCTCAGGTACGACGGCGTGCTTCACCTCTCGATCTAGGCGCGTTCTTGGACGGTGCAAGGATAACAACCGACGGAAGTTGCACCTCAAGCTGTGCTTCAGGGAACGTAGAGAGCGGAGGTAACGAAACAAAACTCAGAATTTCAAAAACAATGTAGGAATTTTGACCGCATTGAGAAAGTGCAGTCAATAGTAAATCGTAAAAATCGTAAAACAATGGTTGGTACAGGCGTTAGTAATGCATCAATCAGTAGTATACCAATCAGCAGTTTATCAATCATGACTACAACAATCTGTAGCAGCGGTATACTTATCGCCGTAATTGAGATCTCTGGATGATAATACATTTAGTTTAACGTACTTCTTTTTGCACAGAGAACAGTGATGGTATTAGATTCCATACGTCCACAGTCGATATAAAACTTTCCACTCGAAAAGATAACGTGATATAATGAGTTACTTAATTGATTTCTCATGATGGTTGTCAATTCCGATGAAAATTTTCCGTTGTAATAATATTCTTTATATGCGTGAGGCGTTGGCCATTGTTTTTAAGCTAAAATTCTTTCATTCAACACAACGTCATGTCAAAATTGTGTGGAAAAGTGAGTTTCCAAACCTGATTTAACTTAGTTTTTCCTAACCTGGCCTGACATTCATGCTAGAAAATTTGCTAATTAAGAAAGAATGTTTCATTTTCATTGTGGTAGTTGATAATGATAAACTTTTTCATAGCTGGGACTCAGCTAACAGGTCTTCCGGAGAAAACGCTACAGTGTTGCCCAAACAACAAGTCTCCCTTTGTTTACATTGGCTGCGAAAGCCCTCCTTGCGACAGCAGCAGCACCATCAGAAAAGAGTACTTCTGTGATGCGGTGGCCTTTTGCGCTTACCAAGGACTGCTCTTGGTCGAGGTTGACACGGCTGTCAAGATAAACGACGTGACGAATATCATCAAGAACTCGTATCCAGGTCAGAAACGTTAATGCTATTCGTTTCCTCAAATCGCAAATAAACCGAAAATTGAATGAAGAGAAAATGCCTGAAAATTCACCAAGTTTCCTTTGAAAAGGTTCATTTAATTATTCATGCGTACAGTTATTAGAAGTATTGATATTGCGTACAATTATTCGAAGAGCGTTGAAGTATGTTTCTTTAATTCCTCAGACTTGTCTGAATTCTGGGTGAACATACGAAGAATCAACGGAAGTTGGGTCCACGTTCCTAGCAACACACCGGTGATCGAGTATGATTGGGCGACATCTCCTGTAGACAACGAATGCGTGTACGGGGTTGTACATACTGGACTGAAAACTGCGCCATGCGACGGGGAAAAATGCCGTTATTTGCGTCGATCCTACGAAATCTCTGCCAGTTTGTTAGCACATTGAGTGTAGCACGACCCACCAGCGCTGCCAGATGGCTCCGGTTCCGCTGCAAAAATTAAATTTTCATTTCTTCCGTACTTTTTGAAAATTTATTGAGGTAATCCTGCCCATGGTTCCTGCCATCATAAATTTTAGTCGGCAGACGCAATTGAATAAACTATATCGCGGAATGTGTCCGGAAAAAGACCCTGCAGCCCACTGGTGTGTCATGCCGCACTCAACGTGCTAAGACAACTTCTGCATAGATTTGTCCCATGAAAGGCCCTGATGGAATTTCTGCAGATGGAGCAATAAAATGATGAGAAGTATGATCTTTGATTATTATCTACACTTATTCGTGGCAATTCTACTCATCATGTCTCAGGGTTACATGATATATGTTTCACCTCTCAAAAATGTTACGTAAACAACTGAAACTCTGCTGCAGCGACAGCATACAAATAAAGCTCAGTTGTGTTAATACACGGAAAATATCGCCATCTGGAGTGTGATGGCGACGAGCGGACAGGATCATCCTGTCCCGCCGTAATGCACTTACTAACTTCGCCAATACACTTCTTATGTTGCGGGCCTCTGACGGAAACATCTGTTAACAAAACTGTGTTGCGACTTTCTAGCGCGATCGAAAAAGCATCTTAGTTATTTTGTGGCAACCGGACCCTACCTTCAGTACAAATCGCAATTCAAACCAGTATTATAATAGGGTTCTTCTTGATGAGCGGCGAGTTTAGCGGTAGGTGCCGTTGCTTGTGAGTGGCGTCTTGAGGCATTGACGGTAGAATGGGCAATTCTTAGACCACTTTCTGGACCAACTACAATGAAGATAAGAAATTGTACTAATTTTAGTTTATTTGTGGTTCACTGAATACGAGTTGATGTTCAAGTACTTGTTTGCTTTCAAGTGGTATAAACTTTAATAACAATTTTGGAAAAGACAAAATTTTTGCACATACCTAAGACATGGATGAAAAAATATTTCAAAATATTTTATACGGCCGTTAAATTTACAACCCCTGCGTAATGCCATGAACGATCTCAGGACACTACTTCGGTTTGTTGCGAACTACTGAGAAGATCGGAAACTAGGGGGAACATTTTCTACAGGTCAAGCGAGAAAAGCGTGCCAGCTAGGTTCGGTGAATACAAAAGTTATGTACCCGAGAAACATTGGCCTGGAGGACATAATACCATGGGTCTTCGGTACCGTAGGAAGAATGGTTAATGGTTCAAACATCTATTATAAAGGAATCTTTAAATGATCGAGCGGCTTGAGTCAATAGCTCGACTCAGGCGTGATTGACCGTGTTGGAATCTGTTTGACGCTTGAAGCGACGCATGATTGTGATTGATATAAAGTTTGATCGGTGGAAAGATGCGCATATTTTTATCGAGAAGGCAAAATTAGTATTGGAAACCATTGCTCACCACCAAAATTCACACAACAGATCGAAAAACAACCACTAACGAACGCACAAGTGTAAACTAATCCCATGTGTGACGAGAGGGAGATTCTTATCAACACATTGAAGCCCAGATTGAGGTTGGTAGTAGCGCGCGCCAATCGTTTTACTTAAGCAGCTTGACCGTTTAGGGGCTCTTTAAACTGGATGCTTTTTTGGAAAAGTTATTAGAATGAAAGCATTGCCGAAATTTTGATGCCTACAAAGTAAAAAGTATCCTTTAGTGGAATATATACATCATAAGCTATACAGGGTTATTCCGAATGATGGATCCAATTCAATAAATTCGTATTTATTTAAGTATAAATTCTGAATGAATAATTTCTACACCGATGGAGAGATAAGATTAATTTTTTTCCATTTTTATAAATGTTGAATATGCCCCCCTTGTGCTGCACGGCAAACATCTAAATGGTAGCCAAACTCGTCCCAAACACGAGAAAGCATATCTTCTGTTACTGAGTGCACCGTAGCAGTGATACGGTTCTTCAGATCAACCAGAGTTGCTGGTAGAGGCGGGACGTAAACAGAGTTGCTGGTAGAGGCGGGACGTAAACAGATTTGCTGGTAGAGGCGGGACGTAAACAGAGTTGCTGGTAGAGGCGGGATATACACAGAGTTGCTGGTAGAGGCGGGACGTAAACAGAGTTGCTGGTAGAGCCGAGATGTAAACAGAGTTGCTGGTAGAGGCGGGACGTAAACAGATTTGCTGGTAGAGGCGGGACGTAAACAGAGTTGCTGGTAGATGAGTAGTAGTAGTAGTAGTAGTAGTAGTATAATGGTTTGCTAGCGATTCAGCTATCAAGCTATTTCGCACAGGAGGTCAAAATATAACGTCGCCGGCAAGGCGGAAGGTCTCAATTATTCAATTTCTCAGATTAATCCTCACCCACAAAGGGCGGAAGGTCTCAGATGGCCAGCCCGCTGAAGCTGGCTCGAAAGAAGCAGCGTTAGCATCTCAAAGAGGCGAATTGACAAGGAGGGACAGGTGAAAAGCAACAGAAACTACTAAGGACACTCGAACAAGAGGTCGCTTACACGGGACGTCGCCCGCCCGAGAGAGACAGAGAAGGGAAATGTAAGGATCCTGCCTACATAATAACTTAATGTAAGGTATCCTACCTACATAATAACTTAATGTAAGGAATCCTACCTACATAATAACTTAATGTAAGGAATCCTACCTACACAGTAACTTAACCCCATAACTGAGGCCTGCAGTCAGACACCGCGAGCTCAGCGGTGGGGCGCTCAGGAACAATCCCCCTAGGAAAGCGAAATCCCATAGGACTTCTAACGAGCACAGACACACGTCAGAAATTCCCCCTGAGGGGATCTGGCACAAGCCTTTGAAGCGCTATGTAAATATGTAAAAAAAATTCGGATCTTTCTCTTTCCATCGGTATGAAAATTAATAATTTTGAACTTTTACCTAAATAAATCCGAATTTATTAAATTAGGTCCACAATTTCGAATAACCCTGTATTTATATTAATGTGAAGCGGGATAAATGGCGGTCTGGTCTCATATCACTTCACCGATAATTTCTATAAAGCTGACAAAAACACCCGTTCGTTATTACGATAGTTGAATTTGACTGCTTTCTGTTCAGTGAATTTCATACAAAAAAACATCCCTACTGCCGTGAGTTGATAGAAAATTTTTCGCTGTCTTAAATACGGATAAAATTCTCAATGTTGTTAGGCGACTACGATCCTCGCGAACGGACAAGTCATTTCTTAACTAAATTCATTCTGATATCAAATGCATTATGTGACTTAAAAGTTAACACAATTGAGAAATAACACGCACTAACTGTGTTCATTTCAAGATTTTAATTACATGCAGTATAAAAATAGGTTACAGATTTGGGTTCAAGTACACAAACCACATAAAATGCAACGAACATTACAAATGAAGCAATAAAATGTGTGTAAAAAATTGAAAAGAGTATTAAGGTAATAAGAATGAAGAGAAAAACTTAAAAAACGAATTATAATATCATCAGTTACAAACAACACAAGCGGTTCCCTAATAGAGCAAAACTATAACAGCAGCTCATGTGATCTTAGACATACCACACAAGATGCCCATATACATGTATTAGAGTAGAGAAGGCTTCAGTAGCTTGCATAATCATGTACAAGCAGTTTAACAGAAACACATCTATGTGAATTATTGATATCGGGTAATCCTCGATAATTCAACAGTATTCAAGTATACTGTATTCGAGTATTCAAGTGAATAATTCAACAGAAATCAATAAGAAATAGAGCTCACAAATGATTAATATCTGACTTTACTGATAATAAAATTAAGATATGAATACACAGTAACTCCAGTAACTCTTCTATCATTAACATTCGCATGCGTCGATTCTACGTACGATTCTAAAATATTTGTGCACAACTCTCAACTGTCTGGATGATCAACTGTTAAAACGATTGATTAGGACACACAGATGAGCAGAAGATCATGGTAAGACATGCCCGTTGAGCAGAGCTATATGACTTGCAGCATCGCAGAGCTGTGCATCCAGGTCGCGAAAATTGTGCAGAACGTCAATTAAATCGTGACTCTGTCGAATATTTTTCCTAAAATAAAATTTTTACAACAGTCTTGTCCCTTTTGTGCCTCTACATCACTGAGCATGATAAAAAATAGAGCAATGAACCGCTCAACAACAAACACATAGAATTATTGCACAATAATGTCTGACATGGCACAATATTAATGCAGTTAGAATAGCAAATAGGTAGTAATTTGTTTGGAAATAACCGGAATGTAAAAATTGAAAAATATCATGGATAGCTGGATCAATAATCTTTGAAATAAGGAATATGCTAGAGAGAAATTTAATTTAGTGAGATCATAAGCATAAGAAAACACAAAATATTTGATGAATTGGCTCTTGAAACGATAGAAACCAGTGATATAACATATACTTGTAATCATTAAGTAGAATTATTTGTAAAATAGAGATCAGTACTAATAATATTGATATTTATACCCCATAGGATGGATATACTGTACTTCACAATTAATTAGGAAGTTCAGCCCAGAAAGTCATGATACAACTGCAACAAGGTGCCGTTTCAACAAACAAAATTTATTAATTCCAATTTTTTATCTGTTGAATTAACTATCACGATAAAAATGTTTCCCTCTTCCAAAAAGACTTGCCAATTAATTAGATGTTAATACATGAACGCGATGAGAAAATATAACTATTTGAATACAAACTTCCTAAATGAAATAACTAAAAGATGTTCAATTAATATTATTCAGATTAAGTATAACAAATAACTCGCACAGAATAAGAAAAATGAGATAATATAAATAATACGCAATGAAACATTGAATAAAAAACTTTACCCTAATTGACTGGCGAAGGTAGTACAATGCTCATTTGGATCTTAGTCATCTTACATGAAAAAAAAAATTATATAAAATACGTAAATTATTATAAATTGATCATAATTAATACAACATAATCACAAACCTGCGATCAGAGAATAGAAATCGATCGGAGTCGAAGAGCAACTCAACAGAGTAGCGTGTGAAATTTGCCTTCAACTTTCCATTGAACGACAGTTGAAGAGCAAATCCGTCAGGGGTAATTTGGTCAAGACAAATTCATCTATGGTATTAATTTACTGGCTCAAGAAAAGCTTAGAGTTACGTGGTTGTGATAAGGATACATACAACAATAAAAACGAAGAAACTTATACAATACAATGTTTATATGGGAGATTGGTAGCAAGGGAGACAGAGAAGAGGGCTATGCTATCCTTCCAAAGTATTGAAATTAATCCCACAACCGAGGCCATCAGTCTGAGACCATAAGCTATAGTATGGCGTTCCTGAATAATGCAACCAAATAATAGACTGACTACAAATAATCAAACATGCATGTGATCAAAGCAATCCTTCACGATCAGCTGCAATATTCGAAAACTAAAACATTTATTTATTCACAGTAATTTGAGAAAACGATTCAATTTGAGTTCACTGTCACAAAAAATTCTATTGTCAGGAAACCAAATAAAATTATAAAGATTGTCAAACACAATTTGAACTTCAATCGACAGTGATCAAATATTTCTTAAGAAATCCAACCAGAGATTATTTCAAGGAACATTGCACGCACATGTCAATGAGCAAATACGGCACATAAATGACATAGGTACGTACTAATCTAACAAAAAATTCAACCACCAGACACTGAACATTAACATTCAATGGACGAGTGAGGTATAGTAAAAATTTAATAATTTATAAACTCGGAATAAATAAATAACAAATAAAGTGACTTGCTCTAGTAACGGATTATAAATAGTTTGATCTTTAAGAAATGGCTAGCGTTTCCCGCATATAAGACCCCTGAGGGAGGAGCAGATTGAGAGCAATTTGAGCCTTCTTATTTGCTGCTCATTCTTAATAAATAAATTGAATACAACGAGAATACAACAAAATATAGACATATTCTTAGTCACTCGTAAGGTTGCACTGAAATAAATGGCTTGTAGCAAAAATATGCACAGAAATGTAATAAGAAAAATGAATATCAATTTTATATTGATTTGAATTAAGTGAAGGAAATTGTGAGAAATATTTCAGCTGCTGTATTTTTATGAAGTATTATCGAATTTCATAACTCAAGATTTGCTCACACATGACATCTCAAACAGGTTGTCCTGGTAGACAGGTAACGGCAGGGCAATCCAAACAATGCAGAGCAAGAGCCATATTATACAGGTACTCTTTTTCAAACCTGACAAGTCAAAAGTCTAGTAACCTGACAGATGATACTATCTGATATACTATCTGAAACACAAACTAAAGCAAATCAAAATAATTTATACATTTTCCTGAAAAAGTTTAGCATTTCTATTGCTGTATGCTCCAAACACTTGAGAACACCATTATTTGGTACAATTGTTTACATGGAATGAATTTCATCTTACCTCCCTTACAATGATTATGAAAGTTGCATAGATCACATGTGGGCTGTTTGGAAGTAGCTTTAAGCATATGCAAAAAGCCAACATCCAGCCGAAAAAAAAAACAGGATGAACTAACCACTTAAGACAAAAGCACAAAAAAAGGCAGGATGAACTAATAACCTCTTGGGACAAAAAAAAATTAGTTTAAAAAAAATTGAGATACAATAAGTTGATCACAGCTGCAAAATCTATCCTGATACAAATTATTTTCGCAAAAAACGGCATTGCATACAAGTAATTAATGCCCACTATGCAAGATCACTCTCTATCGACAATAATCAGTAGAAAAAATTATTCATATTCATATTGTTGAAAACTGACTAGCAATTTGATCACTGAAAAACAATAATGCAAATCAAGAGCTCTTTCATCCAAACACGATTGTTTTGAATTTGTGATGTTTGAAATGACTTCCAAAAATCTGTATTAATGTTTAAACAGAATAGATAAATTGATAGACCAAGCAGAAAGCCGAACCATCAACAATAATGGAATGATACCGTACATCTTATAAAGATGAAAGTATTAAATAAATGTTAGAAAATACCAAGCCAAGTAAGAACTACGATACAGACTTCATTGAGTGTGCAATTTTCATTCAGAAATGCTGTTTTGAAAATAAACAAATGGGATACATTGGGATACATATATAACCGAACACCTTTTAGAATTGTAAAAACTTAGTTGTCTTCCACAAGTACTTATATTAGGAATAAATGTGTTTAATTACAATAACAGAACACAAAACGTGTAAAACTTGCGTGAAAATTAATAGTAAACTAAATCATATAATTAAACTTCCATGACATATTTGTGACAAATTGATTTCATCTAGACCTTTCAACAAATTTTTGCAACCTGTTAATTATTTTTATGAAATTTTTATAAATATCAGAATGTGATTTATGCTGATTCATAATAACATGCTTCACTTCAAGACCACGAATTATATATTCAAATAGTTATAAAAAGTATAGATGTACAGGTTTTTCTAGCTTGCAAATTTCCCTAAAGTGCAGTCAATGGAGCCAGAGGTAGAGGAGTGCATACAGGGCAGCCACACCTGTCACTGATGCTGCCACTACTAAGCGGAATTCCTGCAATAATTAAAGTAAGTTAAGAAAATTTATAAATGTCGTGCTGAAATTGTGGAATTGCCGATTCCGTGGAATTGGCAGCCAGTTTGCTGAATCTGTAGAATAAGCATTTCTATACTGTAGGAATCTGAGGTTAGGTCAGTCAGCCAAGTTTTTTTTAAATATTCAAGTATAAAGGAACTTGACCAAACTTGGCCTAACCTATTCTAACTCTAACTGTAACTGTTGATTTATGTTACAACTCCAATGTCCTATTTTCTGAATCAACAACAAAATGCTGATTCTACAGATTCAGCAAACTGGCTCCCTTTTCCATAGAATTGGTAAATCTGCAATTTCAGCACAACATATACATTCATGACAAAAGAACTTCAAATGTCATAGCCTTGAACAATACAGTAATAATGAATTTATAATGGTCAAATATTTAACAATATTACCAGCTGATAAAGCAAATATAAAAGCATTATTCAAAATCACAAAATCTTAAAAAAATGTGGTTGTATTGTTGCAGTAGGGGTCTTTCATAGTAAAAAAAAAAACAATGTGAAAATGTTGATTGCAAATTATCAATGCTTAATTTTTACAAGCTATTCAACTTTGATGCACATCATACGAATACACATAGTACCTGATGCATTTTGACTTTTGCTGTCTTCATATTGGTTTGTAGGCGTGCCATTTTGACAACATCTGAGCCCTGCTTCTTATTTTGAAAACCTGAAAATGTGGAGAAAATTTAACAAAAACATAAAATGATTAAAGATTTAGCATTTGATGTAGGTCAAATAGAAAATAGAAATTTAAATTCCAATGGGAGAAAAATAGTAATATCAGATTATCTGAAAACAATTTCAAATTGAGGATCAATCACCAAAAAATGAATGCATTTTATAATAAAAAGGATTCCTCACCAATCTCTTTCCTATACTTAGCAACAGGAGGAGCCTGAGTCATTTGGTCTTTCTTTCCCATTTTGATGAACAATGTAGGGCTAACTCCTGAAATAGAAAATGAAAAATTTAACCATACAGATTTTTTTATAACAGATATATTTTGATACAATAAATGTTATTTCTAAAAATATTTCTTCTAGTTTTTGTAACAATGGCTCAAACTCAATAGATATTAGACAATATGTTGCTTCAGATAATAGACCACTCAACAAATTGCCACCAATTAAATTATTCAAGGGGCATTGGCAAGACAAGACCATGCCTTGTTTATTTACTAGTAAATTCTTCCCTATTTTCTAGTCTGGCTTACCACTATTATGAGTTCTTTTAAAGTTTTCAGTCTGCTATATCATTACTTACCTCAGTTACCTGCAACTGCAAATCAAGCAATAAAGTGATACATAGGCAAATAGGCCTTCTGATTTATTTTGCTATAGGTATATATTTATAGATACCTACATCATTACATGTAGCAATGTATATTTATTACCTACTGGTATACAAAATTCCACAGTGGGACTCAGTATGAGTAGACTAATCTCTATTAAGAGTTGTAAGTTCAAAACACAAGTCATTCCATGCCATGGCCAAATGATCTATGAATCTTCCCTTCCCACAGCCACCAGATGGTTCATGGTAGTAAGATGGTAAGACCCAAAATCTTATAAATCCAATTTTTTTAGCAGTAGTAATAATGTAGTATGAACTATGAAGACAGTATTAAATTAAGTTTTTCCAAAAGCTCTGAAGACTGAAGGCTGAATCTGAATGCTGAAGCCTTTAGCTAGTTGCTGATCTAGCCTCTAGGTCTCCATGTCCAAATAGTGAAGAATGAAGGGTGGTTACAGTACTGCCTAATCAAGTGCCTACTGCTAGTGCTACTGGTTACTTTAGGCAGACTCTTAGTGGCAACTGGCAAATAACTGAAATAACTAATAAGGGACATTTTTTAGGCTCTTCTAATCTTAGGTAATTTCTGACTCTGAGTCCTGTATATAATTTATTTATAACTATAAGTAGGGTGAGTAGACCACTGAGACTGAATTAGGCCTATCATGGATCAAGCAATAAGCATCATCATAATTATTAATTCATACATTATACATAGAATAAAATTTTGAACTAGAACAGGAAATTTAAAAAATAAACTGGTTTCTAAAATTCTAAATAATCTCTTGTTTGTTCAGAATCTTAATCCAGTCTCCAATTCTATCAGTCACCCTATCCCTCATAATCCCTGACTACTGATGAGCAGTGAGCACCCTTCACTTTCCCAGGTGCACCCCATGGCCCATTGACCCAACCCCATCCATGATCCATTCCATGAAAGATGCAAGTGCAAGCGTGCAACCGTATTGAAAAGAACTGCAACTCAGTGCAAGTCTGCAACCTAAAACAAAATGCCATTTATTATATAAAATTGCAAATATTTCACAAGAATGGCTTTTATAAAATGCTGTAAAGCTTTCAGCCAAGAAACAAAATCAATTATGAAATGAGTTATGATGAGTACCTACAGAGTAGTTGAGTAGGTAGTCCGTAGTACTACTATTTACTGATGCAAAATACAGTCAACGTTTGACTCTCAAAAGTCAAAAGAAATTGTCAAAGAAGAAATCCGAACGATTTCAATTTCAAACCATTTCTTTTTTGATAAATAAAATGTCAGGAATCGGACAATAAATGCAATTAATGTACAATCAAATTACGCCAAGAACATTGCTACCTATCATTAATTTTAAGACGCATAAGCCCCAAGGCCAAGGAGTAGCAACTAGCAAGGTAATTTTGCTCCGCCGCAGCCTCACTGGCCGCCGCACCCTTAGTAACATAGCAACTCAGCAGACTGACTACTTGAGTACTTGACAAGTTCGTTGCGTTCGACTTTCGTGTGTGCTGCATGACAACAAATATGCTGATTAGGGACAGCCGAAATTGTGTAAACAAAACTAAAAGTGTTCTATTAAACTACTAATTTCAATTTGCACGCACATTATAGGAGAAAATCTATAAATCAATAAATAAATCTCATGATAAATTGCACGCGATAAAGAAATATATAGAAATATAGAAACCTCGTGATTGAAAGCGTCAAAAAAACGATCTCGACCCTGATAAATAGTTTTGGTACCTATTCGCAATCCGCTTCTGCGATCATTGTAAACAAATTTTTGTGTGCGAATTTGATTTTAATTCGAACGCTCTAAATTGCTAAAGCGATAAGTTTTAGCAATTCGATCGACAAATGATCGTAAGGAGGAAATCGTGAATAAATAACTTTCAATTCGTTTCGATAAAATATCCCAGAAGAGAAGTGTCCGAGCGGTTCGCTTGAAGCCCAATACGTTAAGCGACGCTAATCCAGATCTCGTCAATCCCGACATGCAGTGTCCCGCCTCCGAATAATCGAACTCATGGTTGAATGTAATCATGATGATACTGAACTTAAAACAATGAAAATATTGCGCGTAAATACCTACGGAAAGTCCAAGCGGTCTCTCCGCAGGGAGGTCGCCTTCCACGTTTCGGCGACGGACGCTATAAACGCCGTCCTCGCAGCCCCACCACCGCCGATGGCATCAGTGGAGGCTTCACTCCCTCGCCCCTACCGCTCGGGGCTATCCCAGCTCTGCTCGGGATACTGCAGCTCCCTGGCGTCCTACTCCGCTAGGATCGGACGCTCCCATAGCTCGGCCTGCCTGGAGTGCGGGGATTCCCTCCAGTCCGTCCAGCACCTATTCGCCTGCCCCACGTCCCTCAGCGTCTCCTCACTGTGGGACAGCCCCGTGGAGGCAGCGGCATTACTGGCCACCATCCCTGCCTTCGCCCATCTCCCCCTCTTCCGGTGCCTTCCCCCCGGCCACCACCTGAGCCTCCCCCACGGCAAGTGTGACGGACGCAATAAACAACAACATTGACGTGACGCTTGACCCTTATAAGCAACGTGACGGACAATTATAAGGGTCTAGACGCTATCAGAGGAGACAGTGCAGCTTCAACGTATAATAAAAATCACCGGATGCAATGAAACATAGTTTAGGCTACATAAATCTTTAATAAAATACTCTGGAGCAGAGAAAATACATTATATATATACTCATTATATATATATATTTTGCTTTAAAAAGCATTCTTCAGCAAGGCATTTGTTCCGCAAGTTCAGTAATAATTTTTAATTTTATTGGCAATAGCATAGCTCAGCAATAGCAGGCACCCTAGGATTTATGATTCAATTTAGTAATGACTGGCCATCGTTTTTTTTTTCAAGTTATATTCTGGCTCAATTATTTTAAATTAGTCAGCATTTTCCTGTAAAAAGATGGAATTTGTATTAAAGGAACGTAGGGGCTAAAGAGTCGAATCCAATCAAGCTCCCTAAACTAGGCCTAAGGAAGCCAATGACATATACCACCATAGCACGTATATTTACTTGAAGACGAGATTAAATATGGAAAATACACCAGAGCTCGTGATTCTTGAATGTATATATTCTTATAAATAACTAGAAATTTTTACAACGAGATATAAAAATTCGAGTGTCATTTGCCTACTACCTAAACAACGGTTGATTTGAATTGTTTCTTATGTACTTCCAGCGAGGTATCAGGCACTTTCTTCAGTGCTATCATATATATAATTCTTTACACAAGAGCGAGTAAGTCGAGCTCTTGATGCTAAGCATTAAGTTTGCTAGGCCGTGTTACCAAAAAGCAATTTTTCATGCATTTATATATAGACGCAATACACAGAAAACAGCACAAGTAAACAAATTTAATACTCTACAGACTTCATTCTAGCAAAGCATAATACATGAACAAAAACTCAAAAAGGTAATTTAAAGAAATAACTATTCAAATCGAGTGTACCTGAACCATCAACATATCCATCACAAAAGGGACAGTAATAATCTCAACCAGCTCATTCAAAACATGCTTTTGTAAATTAGAATTCTATACGAAAAACAAATATCTCATAAGGCGTCACTAAAAATACTGGAGAAAATCGGCAGACAACCACAAATTAATACGTTTATGCGGAGCACGGCGCTCACCATCAAGAGGAATGCTGATGCCTAAAATGAGACCGGGTATTTTCTGTTGGAATAATATCAGAATAAGTACAACTAATGAATAATACCTTGATCAATGGAAGTGGGGTGATGAGAATGCACGCATTTTTGCTGTCTACGACACAACTTAAATATTGACTACAAATATTCAGCTCACTAAAAGGGAGTTATGAAGGCAACTTCGTTCCACCAAGATACGTAGAAATTACTATAATTTTCAGGTTTGCACATTAATGGTAATAAGTTCTCATCATTAAAATTAATCCCATTAGAACAGACGAACACACGGCTTTCCCCTGTATCTTCTCCCACCGATAAAGTCGATATCAAATACCTGAATACTTGACATACGATGCGAACACAACAGCGTGTCCTTATTCATAGGTTCAGCTCGACTCAAATTCCAAGTGATTTGCTGGAAATGATTATGACGCGCGCAGCTAATTTATTCCGGTAAACAGAATGGATGAAATGGCAATGTAATGGCACAGTTACGGGTCATGGTCCCTGGCCTCGAGTACCGTTTGAGTCGTGCTGGACAGCCAGGCTTTTGATGGCATCAAAGCGAGCAGGAAATTGCAGGTTTTCGCAATAACTTTAATTTTTTACTAATATTCTAGGAAAATGCGTATTTTTGAGGAAGGCGACGATGAGTATCCACAAGTCATAATTATTGCAAGCGAACAACAATGCTGGAGAGAATGAAAGGCACAGGCATAAAAGCAAGAGTATTTGAACCGCGATCAAGCTTCCAGTTGGTCGAATAACAACGTAATTTTGCAGGACTGTCACGAATTCAGTTGGACTTCAGCAGGACTTTTGTGATATTAGAGAAACAACTCGCGTTTCCTCTAAATCCGATGAATAAAGCAATAGAGGATCCTAGCTGGCTCAATAATATTAAGTGTAGAACAGCGAGAATATTTCTTAATATCAAACAAAGTAACAATTAGAATCATTTCGAACCACAGTAAAATTGAACCAACGAAATTCACGAACTTCTGCAGCACTCGACGGAAATACATTGGCGTATTAATAGGTAGTGAATTCACTCACTAAATAATGAATCACTTACGTAGCGACTCATTCATGAAAAAGTTAGAAGAGTGACTTTGAAGAAATCCACGCAACAGACGGCAAGAAGCTCTAAATTTGAATATGTTATTTGTAACCAAGTTTATTGATGCGCGCTACAAACACAGTAAGCGTTACCCTAACACCACAAAATAATCAACGTTTTGCACTTAAATAAGAATAAATCATAATTATAACAGCGTTGATGAACATTGCACGTATACCTGGCAAAAATTTCAGCAGCAACCTCAGCTCTTATACTCAAACAAATAAATGGGTGGTATTGTCTAAATAGTGACACACTCTGCACGTAGCACCGATGCGTCTTCATGCCAGGACAAACTATACTCGGATGGCCCACACAAGGGCACAAGGTGCATCGCTATTTGGACAAAGTCTCCCTCATCTCCTTGAGTGTATCCTTGATATAATATCCTACTCACAGAACCTACTCATGTCATTGACGGTTGCCCTATCTGCTCCCTGACACCACAACGAGAGACAGTTTCCATTAGGTTTATTCTTTAAATTTCATATGAAAATAGTTCATAAACTTACATTTGTCCAGGATTTTTATAACAAATTGTCAACATACACGGTTCTATTTAAATGTATTAATGTAGTTATTATATAACATCAACACGTCTAATTCACTACTAATAATCACGATGACATTTCCCCAACGTTATATTGTTAATTCGTTGACATTCAAAAGACGGAACAAGCAACAAGTTTGCTCTTAACTATGGTGTAACACGTTTGAGTGTTAAAACAACACATAACATTACAAATAATTATAGTAAAAAATAATAGACTTGATTCATTGAAATAATTCAAATTGATTCATGAAATAATAAGAAAGGTGCTAAGGTGAATGAGAAAGGAGCGTTGAGTATAACTCAATATTGCTTGATGGTTGGAATGACGGAAAAGTCTGGAATATAAGACAGCTGATACGTGAATGCAACAAAATTTGCTTAAACGAAATTATGCAATATATGAACACAGGGAACGTGCTCTGCTATACTTAAATGCCTTAGAATACTGATGATGGAGGTCACATTATATGAAGTGAAAACCATTCTATAATCAACAGGAAACAGATTATGATTATGAACGATAACAAAACCTAAAAGAAATTTCAATGTAATTTTAATAGGAATAAATTTGTTATTGAACTTTACAGCGACATTCTTAACGAAGCAGAAGTTATCCACAAAGATAATGACGTTAGGAGGATAAGCGAGGCGCTGGTAGTGGCAGAGCTAATGAAGTCACCATAAAGATAATAAAGGAGCTATCCCAAAAGATAAAGAAATTATCCAGGAAAGACAGTGAAGTTATGAAGACTGCTCGGCGTGTGGAGGGTTGCGCTGGCGCAGGTAGTCGCAGAGCTGAGCAGGCAGTTCGTGCAGCACGGCAGCGGCCATGGCAGCGCGCACCTCGCTGGACGCCGGCCCTCCACCTGCTGGCCCTGACAGAAAGCGCCTCAACTCTGCACACAAAAACCAACACTCAGAGCGATGAGTGAGATTTTGTCTACAATGAGTAGACACATTAGGTCAAATTAAGCGACATGTTAGTCCAAAATTAGCGAGATGTTGTCCACAATGAGTAGAAACATTTGGCCAAATTAAGCGACATGTTAGTCTAAAATTAGCGAGATGTTGTCCACAATGAGTAGATACATTTGACCGAATAGTGACACATCAGTCAAAAATTGGTGAAATTTCGTCCACAATGAGTGAGAGATTATCCAAACAGCGATGCACTATTTGCTCCTGTGTGGGGCATAGAGACCCATTTTCGGCCGGACAAGAGAGCGTAGCAGTGCTAACTTCGCTCTCTGCTTGCACTGTTGGCAAGAACGTATGTCACTATTGAGACAGTATGACCCAAACATCTTTCTGAGTTTTTACTCATTGGATAATGAATTGTTTATTAAAGATGGTTTTTAATAAATTTTACTCATTGTATAAAGAAGGAAGTCAACATAGATACTTATGGGTAGGAGTGGTCGTCCGCTTTCTATAGTAGTGTTGTTTTGGAGTGGCAAAAGCTCATATTTTACAATAGTTCCGGACTTGCAATTCTTATAAATTTACAATATATATGGATTTTTCTTCTAAAATACGTCAATGTTTCATAAAAATGAACCAAGGGCAGTTTAAAAAACACGTCTGACATTGAATAATCAAAAGTATATGAGGATAACACAGTTTTCATTACCTAATCAAAACTGGACCAATTGGTGCAAGTGCAATCATTATGAGGCTAAACCGCTTATAACTATGCAGATTTTAAACCGTACATCAGAGCAGCCTGCGCAGCTAAAATGAAACAAAAAAGTTCATCTGTGTCCGTGCTATCAAAATAGCTCAAATTCTGTAGCTCAGTCTGCCAATCATTGCCGGCTTTCCAAGCTAAACCCACTAATTACAGAAGACATATCAGCTGAAATGTGGACTTCGACAGACTTGTTGTCGCACTTACATTGGAGCGATGCACGCACAAGATAACGGTCATTCTCGCGAGCGATCAATATAAAAAACTAAGCAAGTATAAATAGTAATATCATTTATGCCTGTTAGATACGAGCAGGTTGTTTTCATCTAAATTGTTAGGAAGATTTCAACTTTGAGGACTACTCACGAATACTGGAAAGAACGTAACAGCTCAGAAAACGTACAGGCAAGGTAGGAGGTTAGATTTACAGCATTCACAATTCGCATAAATATGCGATAATTATTTCAAATAAAAGTTTTCTAGTATTTGCAGTGAGTTTCCAACAACCACCCATTCTTCATTCAATCTGGCACTGCATTCCAACATAAAGAATTGTTTAACGAGTGACATCACTCCCCAACAAACACTAATCGAGAGCCGGGACAATACAAATTCACTCAATTTCTTTGAAACTAACGATGTAAGATATGTGAACAAGAAGTGCAGTAAATACTTGACAACCATTTTCACGAATTAGTTCAGACATAAACAAGGCATTGACATTGAATTGAATCCATGATTTCCACCTGATTTAGCTTCTGAAAATTAGGTGATGTAAAAGCGAAAGCCTTTTTATACAAATTTTTCTTAAATTAATACGTAATAGTAATAATTGATAGATGAATTGAATATTTATAAAAAAGGCTTTAGAAATAAAAAAAAAAGATTCGTCAGATGTGTACAATAGAAAGTTTTACAGGACACTAATTCCAAGGTGTTATAGGCCACGTTATGAGCCTGAGGTTCTTCGTTGCTAAGGGATCAGAAAAACAAGGATTTAATGATGGTCTCTACTTCCCTTACCACCATTCCAATTAACCATTTCAGTTAACCTTTTCTTCGTATTCATTAAATAATTTATCCAAAATTAACAGAAAAAGAATAACAAGAAAGAACAAAGTTTGGACAGTGGGAGGAATGGAGAAGAGACCAAAACCGAGGCACGGAAGTCCACTTAACTTTAAATGATGAAAAATAACAATTTACGAGCTTTTACCCAGTCTGATAAGCAAAAATATATATATATATATAATTAAACATGACGTACCTATGGAGTGCAATAAATCCATCCATAAAATGACAATAACGAAAAGATCTACATGATTAAATTAGTGAATCATTTTATGCAGTCCACTTGCAGTGTCTCCACTGAAAGTTTTACTCTTGCTTTAATTTTATACTTTTACTTTACATGTTTTTGCAACTCAGGAGACGGGGGTGGCGGTGGGGAGGTTTTTGGGAGTTGGCAGGGCCTCGAGTAAGAAAATCCCTACTTCCCTGCGGGATCATTAACAGGGGCTTGCCACAACAATAGGACTTTGCTTCGCATATCAACCATGATAATTTAAATGAAAATGCAATTTCAAGCGGTAGGGCATAAATTGAAGGATTGAAGTCAAAATCGAGGCCGTGAGAGTATATGCATCTATTCTAAACACGTGCAAATAAATAATCGAGCAAAATCAACTAATTTATCAATCGAATTAACGGTTTATCACTGACTAGACGAATGGCGCACGTCGCTAAAGTATAATGGTGAAAATAAAAATGTTTACTTCGTCTTTGATCAGCTTCCCGGCAACAGGTTTTTAGGAGCGATTCAACGAGAACGAGAAAACAGGGGTGAACAAGAAACTGTAATTCGATCGGTAAGTAATTAAGTAAAAAAGTTTAAGCTGTTCTCGAAACTTTAACACTTGTCTGGCTGCATAATTTTACAGCGTTATAGTATTGCAGAGTTGGGTACACTTGTACCTATGCAATCCGACAAGGCTTAACACAGCAGGTCAAAGGTGAGAGGAACGTCTGCTGTCTCAACAAGCGTCGGACTTACCGTGTGCATTCTACCTTAATTACATCTAAAGCTTCATAAATTTTGCCAAACATCAGCCAGAATGACAGCTACTCTTCCGAAATTATTAAAAATATTCCTTCATTGAAGCGCTAGGAACTTTCCACTCGAGCTCAGTAAACATTGTAGTGCGGATTATCAAAGTGATGCAAGCGCTCACTTGGATTTAAACAACTGAATTGATCACCGCAATTCAAATAATAAAAAATGAAAGAAGAGCTGGGGGTGCGAAACAGGCTAAATAACTGAACAAACAATATTTGAAAAAGTAGGCTCTTGGAAAACGGTTAACGGTGACTGAAAACAGCGACGGTCAACACAAAGCCTGAAATTAGAATATAAAAGACAAGCTGTACTTAACAGAATATGTAGTTCATACTGCAGTCATAGGAAGGAAGTTAGAGCAACAAGTTGGAACAAGAATATTTTCATAGGAACGGAGTTGAAAGAAGTAAGTCACCATGGACAAGGAGACGTGATCTGTAAAGCACTGTGAGAAGCAGAGGCCACTAGAACTGGAAGGTGACGTCAGTTTTGGGTGTGCCGGGCTGGTGGTTGTTGGCCTTCATCCACGCGAGGACCTGCGACGGCACCTCAGCCAGCACGTCCCTGGCGAGCTGTGCCCGGCCCATCGCAGGGGACGACAGCATCATGGGCAGGTGGCGCTGCAGCTCTGCACCATACATCCAGCTCACCATCCATGTCGGCTGGCTATCACTTAAACTATCATAAACTTAGCTCAGCACAAAACCTTTACCATCATTGTGATAACCATTACACATTCCTGCAGAAAGCCTAGCCAGCGGGGCAATATGAGACGAGACAAGACGATCTCTAATTCTTTCTATGTGAAGACTTTGCAGTGTTTAAGACATATCATTTCATCCAATAATCATAACCTGCTGATGACATAAGGTTCTAGTAGGATTTGTGATTTAAAGCGGTCAGTGGTCACTAAGAACGGCGCCAAGAACTCTTGGATTAATTGTTGGACTTCTTCCTCATCCCCGACAGCCACACCAGCAGTTACACTTCATTCCTCATCAATTGTCATTCAAGACATTATGATGGCAGCACAAACAACATAAGTCGATTTACCATTTTCATCCTCCTGATGCGTAAGAATCTCTTCCCATATATTATAGAGATTTCTCACCAACAATAGAAACAGGACGCTTTCAAAAAGGCGCTACCTTCAAATATCAATTTAAGATCTAATATGTACAGCTAAAGCAGCGGGCTATAGTTAAAAAATACTCGAAAGGAGGAAAACTACTTGTAAGAAACTAAACCTAGAATACAAACAAAAAATAATGTTAATAATGTTACAAAGGAAATAAATATACAAAAGAGAAAGCCATATGAAGAATTTCAATGTTATTTCACAGGACTGCAATAGAGTAACGCTGAAATGAACAAAAAAGCATGCATCACCACAGACCTATAAGAAACTTGAAATGGAATCCATGAGCAGGCAACAAAATGTTCATCTAAGAAATAATAAGAAATGCAGCGTAGCCGTTCATTGATGAGCAATACAAGTCAATCTATTGTACTCCACAACTGAGTTACCAGCCACACCCAGTTAGAATACCCATGCTTAAACAGAGCCATATGATCAATATACAGGAACATGAAATGAATATAATTTTTATTTTTATTTGCAATATATGAAGTCGATGCTTCTTGGTCTAATCTACACATGTCTACATTCATGTTTTGATCATGGGATTACCTAACGGAAGTAGAGCATCCGCAGATAAATGCCCTCAGCCCCAGCACTGTGATAACGATGAAACAGTAAATTTGGCAAAATACCTATTCGGTTTTACAATTAAAATTTGTCATACAAGTGAAAACTTTAATTAAGTTTTAAAGTGAATATAAGAGTACTGGATGCGCGAGTGGAAAATGAGAAGTTAAATCATGATTAAGCTAGTTGTGCTAATTAGATCTAGGTCAAGAGAGAACTAATAATGCATTCTAAAATTTAGAAAAAACGTGAAACAAAACCTACAGGCACCAACTAAACCAATCAAGATCAACCTTAAACAGAGACTCGTCTTGTGAAATCTGTTGCATAATGGTCATCGACTCACCAACAAACTGGACGATGTCCCTGTGACTTACCAACAAACTGGACGATGTCCCTGTGACTCACCAACAAACTGGACGATGTCCCTGTGACTCACCAACAAACTGGACGATGTCCCTGTGACTCACCAACAAACTGGACGATGTCCCTGACGGCGTACTGGCCGTTGTGGCTGAGGCGGCGGTCGTCTCCATCCAGCTGCTCCATGGCCGAGAAGTCTTCATTGCCGACGCCAACAATAATCACAGACATCGGCAGCGCGGACGCCATTACCAGCGCCTCACGAGTTGCTGGCAGATCTGTGCGCAAGAAAGAGGATTTGCATACGAACGACAGAAAATTTTAATTAAAAGAACGACACAGCAAGAAAAAATATACATCGTTTTTTTGTGTTAACAGTAACATCATTAATGATGAGCATCAAAAACGTGTACCTGTGATGCAGCCATCAGTAATGATGAGCAGCACGAAGTAGTTCTTGCCATCGAGGAGACTACGAGCAAAGTTGGCGACGTGTTTGATGACGGGGGCGAAGTTGGTGGGTCCGTAGAGGCCCACGGTGGCCAGGGAGTGGCGGTAGGCTTCAAGGATGCCTTGCACGCCCGCACAGTACGGGGAATCCACGCGGCCGTTCAGGAAGAACTCGTGAGACACTTTGAAGTCTGGAGGCACGCGACCTCCGAAACCAAGAGCTTGGAACTGCTTGTCTGTGCAACAAAATCAGGTGGTACGTGAAAACTAGCAAGTGAGGTCTTAAATTATTCGATAATAGCCAATGAAAATTTTCCCAAATAATAATTGGAAAACCATGACAAGAAAATGAATAACTCTTCAAAAGTCAAAACTAATCAAGTCCCTTGCAGAGTTGGTCTGGGTGTGGAATAAAGCTTTGGCCACAGGTGAATATGTAACATAAAAAAAAACATAGTTTTCAACACCTTTTAAAAATTTATTCTCACATTAGAAACATATGGGATTTACAAACTATGTAACTAAAAGAATAAACAAAATAATCCATTGAGTTAATTCATTTTGGAACCTGGCACTTTGAATTTGCTGATCTATGAACACTTACTTACACCAACACCATGAGCTTACACTGCCCATAGTCGCAGTTTTATTAACAGACCATGATGAGACGTACACTTGACCTGTGTACACCAGACATGACCTGTGTACACCAGACATGACCTGTGTACACAGGTCATGACCTGTGTACACCAGACATGACCTGTGTACACTAGACATGTCTGGTGTACACCAGACATGACCTGTGTACACTAGACATGACCTGTGTACACAGGTCATGATCTGGTGTACACCAGACATGAATCACATGATCTGTGTACACCAGACATGATCTGTGTACACCAGACATGACCTGTGTACACTAGACATGATCTGTGTACACCAGACATGACCTGTGTACACTAGACATGACCTGCGTACACCAGACATGGCCTGTGTACACTAGACATGATCTGTGTACACTAGACATGCTTTAGACGCATTAGACATGCCCTAAGCACATCAGACATACCCACACACCAGAAATACCCTAGACACACTACACTAGTCATGCCCTAACCAGAGTCGTAGTCCTGGATGATCTCGCCGACGGAGCGTATGGCAGTGGCATACTGGTTCTCGACTCTGGGGTCCCAGAAATGAAGCGAGTTAGGCTGCGCCGGGTGGCCGTTGGAGGCCGTGAAGTCCACAGCGACGGTGAAGTGGAGCTGCAGGCCGCCCCTGATGTGGTCCAGGAATGTGGGCTCCTCGTGCACCGTGCAAAGCTGCACCATCAGCTTCCCTGAGTTCTTGTAGCTGCTCTTCTTTGCCTTCTTCTTAGGGTTTATGAGGTCGTAGTGGTTGCTGCTCACATTGCCTGTACAGCAAACACAGTTTCAGAGTTCATCTTAAAGGTGCCTGCTCAAAGTCTTGCAGATAATTAGAGAACTCAAGAGTTCTCAATGAAAAACTACAAAAAATAAAAAAATTTTTTATAGTCCCTAATAATGCAACGGTAAATTAATTAGCAATAAAAGACACTGTAAACTAGTAGTTGAACTTGTATAACAAGTTTGTTGTGTCTTTATTAATGAATTTAGAAATATGGCCGTCTCGAGTTACCTGAGTCTTGGAAATCAACAGGAAATGTATAATGTAAAGCTGTTCATGATAGAGAGTAGCATTGACGAATTTTCAAATGAATTAATCATATGAATAATGAAATAAACGATAATAGATCTTGATAATTATGAAAGTTTGCTAGAAATATTTCCCATACGAAATACATACTTTGACTGAGTAGCTTTGTATGCATGACTAGTTTACAAATTTATGCTACATCATAATTTATTTTTCCTACTAAAGTATTACAGTAAAGCTACTCGTTAGTATATGTGGGATGCAGACTTTCTTTGCTCCCTCCTCAAAAATAATGGACGCTTTCTGATGGAAGAAAGTGGCCTCTAGAAGTTGCAGGCTCTCGAAGCATCAGAAATTGAAGGCCCAGATAATGACCTCCGAATTTAGGGTGGAATCTTCCTGATTAATAATTACTGGATAGCTCCATGCAAATAAACGCACAAAGTGAATAATACATATTTCTGTTATAGCTCATTGTTATTATAGTAATTTTACAACAAAATTTCCCGAACATTCAGGAATTTGGTCATATTGGTTGATATTGTTGATTTAATATTATAAGGGAATTTTCTCTGCAGGCACAGGCTGAGCCTAATACAGAATCAAGAAGCAACAAGAGCTACACTTGCAAGTACTGCGAGTTATGGAGGGTGACTGAAATACTGTAAGCACAAACAGGTGAATATGTGTGCCAAGAAAACTACCTATATGGCTTAGGCGCTACACAGGCTGTACGAATGATTAAGTTGGCTTGTTTATGTTTCTATCATGCGCACTCAGAGGAAGGATAGTGATGTGACTACTCTGACAGCTTAAGAAAAAAACTAAACGGAACTTTAAAATATGGGGCATTGGCTTTGTGTTTCCCTCTATCACAGATAAAAACCTAAGCTAATAGGAACCCAGTTTTGCCTTAAAAACAATAGTTTGGTCTCTCCATGCAACCTGACTACCGTATCAGTCAAGAAGTTTACCAGCCAGGTGATCTCCCATTACCCATGATGTGCATGGTTGTACAGAAACATCAGAAACGAACTACAAGATAAAAAATTAGCCCAAATGAGCTTCTGTGAAATAACTGGAGAAAAGATGATGACATATTCACCTTGTTTGAGCTTGGCCAATGTGGTGAAACACTCGCCAATGAAGTCATGTTCACTGTCCTTGTCGTAATCAAAGCATTCTATCTTGAGTGGGCGCTGGTCGTCACCACCACACAACAGCTACCGAATATTAATACATCACCAATATTAAAATCATCAGTACTAAACTTTCATGTGTTAACTAAATAAACTTTGCTAGTTAGAGCAGTCATGCACAATGCATGAGCAAAAAATTGCAACTAAACTCTTTCTCTATTCATTATTTTCTTTGTGTTTTTTTTTTGTGCAAGTATTACAAGTAGTTTTTAAGTAGGATATACTTTTTGGTCCTTTCAGCAATAGAGATAAATAAATCTGAAAAAATTGTAACACTCAATATGAGCCCCATGAGAAGTATTGTATAACCATACTACACCATATACCTGCTCATTGCAATTATATCTTTTTTGTAGGACCAATTTGGGTTTTGCGAGCTACTTATTTGGCTCACACTGCACTTTTTTTAGCACAAAAGAGCAAATTTATAATTAATAAGCAGGATAGGCTCACACCAAATGAGCAAATGCTCATGTTGGCCTAGTACTTTTGCAGGCACTAGATAACCTGTACCTATCAAAATTATACTACACATGGTGCAAAATAACAACAATAGCTCATATTTCAGCTGTTCCCACCTGACTTTTCTTAATGTATTTGAGATTAAAAACTTTTAAAAGATTCTCTCCAATTGAGAGGTGACCAACTCACTGAAGATCTGATAACAAAAGGTTTCCAGACTGGATCGAGGGTTTTCTTGATATATTCAGTGCGGTGGACAACGGTATATTGGTTGTTGCTACCCACAGACCTGCACGTGCCATTAACATGAAATGAACAAGCAATGAACAAGCATTGAACAAGAACACAGGTGATCATTTTCAAACAGTTATGGGGAGAAATAGGCTACCCAACCTTGTGTAAATTCAGTATATCAATATGCTTCAGAAGGTTTTTATCATAAAAGGTTTTAACGAATTGCAAGAAATATTTGCATCTATTTAGTTTAATCTTGAAAATCAATTGAAAGTTTGACATAGCTGCCATACTTGCTCACTACAAGGTAGGGGTCACTCTTCCCAAACATGTCTTTCTTGTCCAGTCCACTGCCAGCAAAACTCAGAGTTACAACTTCCTGTGAAACAATTGATATTGTTGTAAAATAATTCCCCATTCGAGTTGATTTATAATTTAAACTCTAATTTTCTAATTAGTTGATTCAATTTCAACTGATTCAAGATATTTTAATTAAGAACTAGACTAAAAAGGCTGCATAAACTCATACAACTTTAAATTTTTTTCTGATGCTATTTTCAACTCAGGGCTACTATGATCATCCACAATAAAAGTGTTGACTTCTAGACATTTTACTAGAATATATATATATATATATATATATATACATACCTATATATAAACTGCTACTTATAAGCAGAATCATATTAATTTTACCAATATTCATCTAGAAATACCTTCTAACCAGTCATTCTTAATAAAAGAAATTAATGAGCTACAAATATAGCACTTTTCGTTTCAATTTCGATCTATCGATAATAATTCAAGTATCATCAAGCTTTCCTAATGCCAAGTTTCTCCCAGAATCATTACCTTAGACTCAACCACCTCCTCCCCAACCACAACAATGATGCCACCCTTGCCATCATTGAGTGTTCGGGTGAGAGGTTCTCCACCGCTGGCCATGATTTCTGCAAGTGTGCATTCTGTCCAGCCCAACTTGTCTTGCGTGGAAGTCTCATGCTTGCTGTTATCCCAATCAAAGATATGGAACTGGAGAACCTGCATTGAATAGATAATCAAATCTATTATCTTGAATGAAATTTAAGGGCAAATGCAAAAATTTTGTATAAATTGAAACACAGCAGCAAAACTTCCTTGTTCACTGATAATTTTCTAATTTATTTATACAACATTTATTACCTGTCTTTCTTCAAATCTGTAATCAACATCAAACTTTTGGACCCAACAAGGTTCCAGGCTGTCAATAATTTTTTCGGTTCTTGCAAGTTCATGCAGAGAGTTTTTGTGGATGTCCTTCCAATACAGCACACATACCGGGTCACTCTTGCTAGTAAGATCAGCATCTCGCAGCTTCCTGCAAAATTGAGACTCAATAAAAAACAAGAAAAATTCACCAAAAATAATATATAATATGGAATATATTAAGAACAAAAATCTTTTGCGATAGCTTGTTTCGAAGTTAAGGCACATGCACAGTTCACAGGTGATGCCAACAGTTAACCTGATGATAAGAGAAACCATCTTAAGATTTCCAGAACTCAAGCAGCATCATGTTGTACAAGCATAGTAGTACTCTTTATCTTTATTAGCTTGATTTATTGCTTGATGGCCAATTTGTTATCATTAGCAAGAAGATATATTAAATATTCCATGACAAAATTTCAACGAGCCTAAAGAGAAAAAACTTATTTCCACATGAGATGAAAAAATTTATTTCCACAAGATTATTTCCTACAGATAGATTCACAAAGCAACAATTCATAACAGATATTTGACATTACCTATTGGTATAAAAAAATGTTTGCTGAAATTCAACACCAAACTTCTACAGACGTCAAAAACAATAGGTTCATGAGCATAGTTGCTGCTTTTCTAGAATCAGATATATACCTAATGCAGCCCAAAATGACACAGCTTGCACACAATGTTTCTCTTAATTATGGCCTCTTAGATAAATATGTTGTAATTTTATTAAATTTTCTATCAGACATCAGCTTCTCGTGGTGGTGTCCATGTGGAAATGCAGGTCGGGCATTCACAATCAAATAATTGATATACCGTAAAATGGGGTAACTTAGACCACTTTTTTTTTACAAATGATGCCATTTTTTTACTAGCTAAATTAAACTTGAATTTAATTTATGAAACATGCAAAACATAGGTCTATACTCTAGCTTCACTCACCATAAATTGCTGGCTTCTGCCTCTCATAGTCTTTATGTAATTTAAAAAAAAGTGATGGTCTTTGTTACCCCAGCTCTTGGGGTAACTTAGACCGGGTGGTAAAATCAATTATATTTTTTGTTTAAATAACTCCAAATAACTCCAGGTTTTGGTGCATTGTAGTAGAACTCTTCTAGTTACATATGCAAATGACAAACTTGAGGAAAGTGTCATAGTTTGCAAATGGGGGGCACCGCTCCATAATGAGGGAAATGTGACTACCTAATGGCAGCCCTGATGGGGTAATATTGACTGGCTTGGAAATTAAGTTAAAATTACCATATATAAGACTCTGTAGAGTCTGAAACATAAAGAAAAAACATAAATAGGCTGTCAAACATAAAATATGTTATATATGGTAATTTTATATTAACTTCTAAGCCGGTCTATGTTACCCCATCAGGGCTGACATTAGGTGGTCTAAGTTACCCCATTTGGGGGCGGCGCCCCCCATTTGCAAACTATGACACTTTCCTAAAATTTGTCATTTGCATATGTAACTAGAAGAGTTCTACTACAATGTATCAAAACCTGGAGTTATTTAACCAAAAAATAAAAAAAATGGAGGGGGTACTCTGACAGGCTTTAAATAATAGCTTTTTTTCATGGGTCACATTTTTAATTTTTTAACCTATCAGATATGCAAACTTTTCAAATCTTTTTATTGTGTTATGTAGTCTCAGTATTAGGCCTTTAATGCCCATTGACAAAATTTTTCTATGTCAAATAGTTTTTGAGTTGTGGGGGTTTTTGTTCAAAAAACGAAAAGTGGTCTAAGTTACCCCGCCGGTCTAAGTTACCCCATTTTACGGTATACAATATTGCCCTTTTTTCTGTCTTCAACATTGACTGTAAAATGACTTACAGTAGTCTTTTTCAAACATTGATGGTTCAACTAAAAAATTATTTCATAGAAATGATACGTAAAAATTAATAATTATACTAAAGGTAAAGTGTCTCAAATTCTTCACCGGAAATAGGGCTTTATTCCTTGATGCGAGGGGATGCAAATCTGAACATTTAAACATGATCATGAAAATATCAGTTCAAGTCTTTGAGGGCTAACAAAAATACTCACTTGGCAGAAACACTGAGCTGAACTTTGGTGACAGGGTTAAGAAATTGAGGAGGACCTCCTACATGTGGCACAGAACCTGCTGCTTGATTAGGATTCATATTAATATATTGTTAGCTAATGGTTTAGCTGTTGAGGTACATTAAATTCTTTTAGAAACAAAATATATATGAACTATTATGAAGTCAACAGACAAAATTGCAAGAAATCATTTTTCTACTAAAATATTAAGATAAAAGTCATGTATTATGGTTAACTTAAAATTTTGCAGCTTGATCATGCAGTAATAATCTGGCTAGAAAGTTATGGTTCACTGGTTCAGTTTTATTTAACACGTTGAATACGATTGCTTCATCTTGTACTATTATTTCATTTTTTGTACTTTTTTTAAGCAGGGTTGCCAGACGGTCATTTTTTCCGGACAAATTCTGTGATTTAGTTTTTCTCAATTGCGTTGGCCAGCTAGAATTTATAATAGGGGTACTTCCTAATTAAATTTTAAATACTGCAAAAAAGAAAATAAATAGAATTTTTATAGTGGAACCTACAAATAAACTAGTATACATTGAATTATCTGCCTTTTTTGTTCTCGGATTTGGACAATTTTAGGCAACCTGAATTATGTACCTCTACCTCCTGGAGAAATACATTTTGTGGACGCATATGGTCATGATATGTACCAATACGTAGTCAACGTGTTAAATACCAAAATGCAGAGTTTGGCAATTGTGTTGTCAAGATCAGATTTTTAGGCCCAAATGCTAGTATTGTAACAGATTTGCAACAAACTAGCTAAACCTTTGGATAGAAGATTTAAGATTACCTGCCAAGCTGCCATAAAATGCATGTAAAGTGATCTTTTGGGGAAAATGTGTCGGTATAAAATCATATGAAAGCAACAGCTTTGATGCTTATCTGCAGCCAAATATTTGCACAGTCTTTGCACTCTTCTAAAGTGAAGTGGCCAAGCAATAGCAAGCAAACTGAAGGATTCTACCGGCTACCCTGTCACACTTACACATACCTAGTGACAGTGTCTTGTGCCAGACTGCCAGGGCTGTCTGACTGTCTCATATCATTCACAATCACATGACACTCATGAGTCGTGAATCAGAATGAGTCATGACTACCAAATAATTTTTTGGTAGTTTTTAATATACTTCATTAGTCATTGTTAATTTTTGCAAGAAATTTTGATCCATGTCTTAGTCTACTTGCAAGTTGCCCAGTTGGCAGTGGCAGTCAGCCCAGACCAGGCTCCAGACAGACCCCAGTGACCAGTCCTCACAGTCTCACAGACAATGACAGACCCACTGGCCACTGCCCACTAACACTGGCACTGGCAGTATGGCATGACTCAGACCTCAGTCAATCACATAAATTATAATTACCACACTCATAATCAGATGCTCCACCATTTTGCTCTCACCTCTGGGCTCTGCGGGACTGCGGCGCAGCGGCTCTCTGCTCTGATTCTGTCACACATAAAACAAACATCCTCTCTTCTTTCATATCATTCTGCCATAATGTCCGTGCATTCACACTCGGTCAAAGCATTTGTTCTCATGCAGAACATTAGCCTGATTAGGTGTAGGTCCCCACTCTGGCCACTCCCTACCTCTGCGGCCGTCATATACTTATCTTATATGCACTCGTTACTCGGCATCTCTTTCATCTTGTACAGTCTCAGCCCTCAGGCAGTTCTTTCATTCCATTTCTTGCGTAAATACCATTAAACCGCATGATTTCACTCTCTTTTCTATTTTATATAGTCAGACGCTGTGACGCAGACTGTCAGACCCAGACACCAGTGTACAGTGTCCAGAGTACTCCAGAGTCCAGACCAACTGAACTGACCAACAGATAGGGCGAGAATACGAGATAAGCTGCCGTTCCGTTCGTTCAAACATTTCTGCAGATTATCATCGGTTCACGGCAATTACTCTAAACTCGAAAGTTATTCACGGTATGGAGATGTGAATTTAGAATTAGAAAACCAAAATTGCTCAAATCTTAATTCTAGACCGGCTGCATGATCAATCGGAAAATAGTCCTTGAGGTGATAATTATTATTACAATGTGGTAAACTGGCAATGAGACATTTGCGAATGTGAATCAAAGATCATGAGGCATTCCCACTAAACTTTGACCTCTCGGACACTTTCCCGGCTGGTCAGTGAGCCTAAAACATATCCCAAACTTATGAGCGCAGCTCGAAGAAACTTTGCACACATGTTCAATATGACCTATGGGTAGAGGTGGGCAGTAGTGCGCTACATATAGCGGTAGCGGCGCTACATTTAAGCAATTGTAGCGGTAGCGGCCGCGGCCGCTACATTTAAGCACTTGCAGCGGTAGCGGTAGCGGCGCTACATTTAAGCAATTGTAGCGGTAGCGGTAGCACCCGCTACATATTTAAGTAGCGATACGAGGTTTTGCCGCTACAGCGCTACCGCTACATATATATAGATAAAGCCTTTAGATTTTACTTAATAGTATTAAATATTATTTAAAACCAGCATGATACATACATAATATAGATTACAGAATAATACTGTACGAAAGATTTCGAAGTAATCTTGTCAACCTCAGCCTGTTACTAGTGTCAACTTGTTTGTTGTTAGTCCAGAGGTGGGCAGTAGCGCGCTACATGTAGCGGCCGCTACATTTTCAGTAGCGGTAGCGGCGCTACATTTAAGCAATTGCAGCGGTAGCGGTAGCGCCCGCTACAGTTGGAGCATGTAGCGGTAGCTGTAGCGGCCGCTACATTTCAAAGTAGCTCTGCCCAGCTCTGCCTATGGGCGATGTTTAGGGTGAGACAATTTTTTTCGATTTCTCCTTTGTTTGCGAGTTATACAGCAATACGGGCCAAAATTTGCAGTGAGCCAAATATATCGTCTATCCTACTGATGATACTGTGTAAATATGAACGAAACATTGAATATACATTTATAACTTGGAAATGAAAGGCAAGTAAAAACGATTACTGCAGAACCAGGATTTGAGCAGCGAGCTATGATTCGATCCCAGCTACCTACCTACTATTGTGCTAATTTTGTGTTCAAAGAAAAGTAGCAGAGCGAGTGCGTTTGTAGTGCGTAAGCTTGTTGTAGGTGCTTATGCTTATTGTTGTTGTAGGTGCGTAAGCTTATTGTAGATGCTTATTGGCGTATTGCATTAACTGCAAGTACGTCCCACTCCAGTTTTTCCGGCTGAATGCTTATATACGAGGAGAGTATTTTTTAAACCGTATTTTCTAACGGCATGCGCCAGTGGGTCGCTATAAACCTTTGAGTGATGTACACGGTGAAATATGGAACGTGACGGTAATGGCGAGTTTGTGGAGGCTGTCGATAAAGCAGTTGGTAGGCTATGGTAGCATTATTACAGCTCCAGCTGAGGAGGTGAGAAACTTTATCAATCATCGTAGAGTGTGGGCCGCGGGCGAGAGACCTAATTAGTTCATTCTCGCTTAGGTTTCTAAACACTACTTTCTCAATAAGTTTTTGTTGGAATATTCATCGTGACGTAGATTCCACAGCAGATCGTACTTTTGGAATTTCTAAAAGTTTACTGTTATACGAACACCTCTTAACGTTCTACCGTCGTCGTTGGGACAAGGCATAGTTCTCTTGCTCCAGACGTACGCTTTCAGCTACTTACTCGAAAGAATCACCAGCGACCGGGGTACTTTGCCGATTTGACCTGAACTGATCATATACAGTGGGGGGAAATAAATATTCGTACACTTGAAAAATCGTATTTTAATGTATGCAAGTACACAAACTTAACAGGAAAAGTGATTTAAATTACAGTGGGGGGAATAAATATTCGTACACTTGAAAAATCGTATTTTAATGTATGTAAGTACACAAACTGCTACATGTTTCTAGTACATTCTGGAATGTTCTGGTGTGAAATATTAGTCAAAAGTTGTTTTGTACGAATACTTTTTTGACCCGAAGAAGTTAACATGTTGCATTAATTTTTGTTGCATTGAGATTTAATTTCTATTGATGCTATTTTTGAATACAATGCGCCTCTATACATAATATAGATCACTTCTCCTGTTCAGTTTGTGTACTTACATACATTAAAATACGATTTTTCAAGTGTACGAATATTTATTTCCCCCCACTGTATTTGAACTTTTGAGTTCCTGCAGCGAATACTCTTAGCTAATACTATTCCCGCGTATATAAGCGCCTTATAAGGATGCTTACACTTTTTTGGATAGAGTATTTTTCATTACATCTATATCGACTACCACTGCAACAGCGCTGTTTTAGCAGTGACCTTGGAAGTTTCAACAATGGAGCCTGGACTTGGTAAAAGGCTTGAATGCATTTCGATTGAATGAGTTTTTACGCTACCCTATGCTACACAAATTTTTATATATAACTAAATTATGTGGTACCGCACGGTTGAGGGGGATTGCTGCCGATCACATCCTATCTTTCAACTCTATTTTAGGAAAAGCTGATTATAGCCAAGGGAATTAGAATAACAATTTTATTCTACAATTTTTTGTAATAATAAAGTCTAATAGCACTGGCGTCCGAACTTAAAATTGAAAGGACAGATTGAAATGAAACGACTGGCTTGATATAAAAATGTTAGCTAAAAAGTGTGATACAGCTTATCTGGCGCCAATTAAGTGACCTCAAGCCCACGTAACCTGCAAGGAGGGCGACGGCCACGAGACGAGCGAGAAGGCAGGGACGCGTAGTCCCCAAGGCGTCTGCCACCAGGTGCGAGACGATGGTCGTCAAGTCGAGTGACGGGTGACCAAACCGAGCCAAGCAGGAGCGCGTAAGTTGATGATGCGGCGAAAGCGTCTCCTCAGTTATAAGAAAGTTATATCGCGTGCGGTGACGAGAGCCAGTGAACTTATTAGAGTAGAGTGACGTAACGAATCAGGAGCGTGGCGAGCAAGAACGTTGCGGGACAGTAACCACGTGAAGCTGACGTGCGGTTGCTGCGAAGCGGAATTCGGTTAGTGTTGAACACACGATTCAAGTTGACAAGTAAGCACGTTCCCACGTGGGCTCATGGCCTAACAGAGAAATAACTGATTAAAAAGAAAATCCTGCACATTTCCAAGATCCCATTTATCTCAGCTCTAACAAGTAGAGAGCAACGAAACTCAAGAGGCAATGATGCTAGGCTAGCCAGCTTACCGTAAGTGCTATACG